TTTGGTTTTTCGAGACAGGGTTTCTCTGTGGTTTTGGAGCCTGTCCTGAAACTAGCTCTTGTAGACCAGGCTGGTCTCGAACTCACAGAGATCCGCCTGCCTCTGCCTCCCGAGTGCTGGGATTAAAGGCGTGCGCCACCACCACCCAGCCTGCTTATTTAATTTTTAAAGACTGTCATATTCTGGTTCAGCTGCTGGGTGGTCATGAGCACCTGTACCATAATTAAACAAAGAAAAACACAGTAAGGAACACTTTATCCTTTTAAATATCAAGAATTTAAGACTACTTTAACATATCCAAGTAAATATAAATAAAAGATAGACAAAAAAGATACAAATCATATACAGAAAGTTAATCAAAATCTAACAAAGGATAAAGTAAATATTCTCATAATGAACAAATAAAACTTAAAATACAGGTTGCCCTGTCAGAAAGGAAAAATGCTTCCAGAAACTTATTTAATCTGACATTCACTTTTTTATTGGTAAAAATATACATAAGTATCTGGCAATTATTGTTACAACTAAAGGCTGAGTGTGGTAGTGCACATTTTAATCACAGCACTTGGAAGGCAGGGCCAGGCCAGTCTCCATGAGTTTGAGTTTAAGGCCAGCCAAGAGCTATGCAGTGAGACCCTGAATCAAAAGATAAAAAATAAAAAATTAAGACATTGTTAAGGTATATAAGCGATTGTTAAATAGGCCATTTCCTATTAACTGCTCACTTTTTAACTGGAAAAAAAACATTTTAATATAATAGAAGAAAGTTAAATGATGATCAAACCACATAATATGCTAACAGCAACCACTAAAAATATTTTTGGTGAAAAAATATTTCTATAAGGGGATAGAGGGCTGGATAAGCAATTAAGAGCACTTGTTGCTCTTGCAGAGGATCCAGGTTCAATTCTGACCTGGCAGCTCACAACCATCTGCAACTCCAGTCCACTGGATCCAATGCCCTGTTTTGAGCTCCGTGAACACCAGGCATGTACATTTTACAAACATACTCACAGGCAAAGTAATCATACACATAAAAAAAATACATCTTTTTAAAGCTTTGATTTTAAAAAAATAATAAAAAATTGAAAGAAGAAAAAATGTATATAAATAGCTGTAAAATTTTCCCTACAAATACAATAAAGGAGAAAAATTAACTAGCTGAAAGTGGCGAGTGACACATTTATAATCCTAGCACTCAGGGATTAGACACAGGAACATCAGGAGTTCAAGACGAGCTTCAGCTATATAGAGGTCAAGCCCAGCCTATGCTACAATGAGACCTCATCTCAAAAAAGTTCAAAATAAATAAGAAAATGGAGAATAAATTAGCACTTTTAACAAAAAGTGATTCTCCATGGCTGATAAAATTACAGCCTGTGCCCTGTTTTATGATTTTAATGTTCTATAATATCAGATTCTTTTATCAGTAAAAAAAAAAAAAGCTGTGTGACTATGAGAGAAGTGTGAGAAGAGTGAACTATAATTATTCACCAGTCAAATATTTCTGGGCCTGTCTAAAGCCTTATACAAACACAATCTGGTATCTAGAAGGTAGTAAATACTGTATTACAGACACAATGCTTTCTTTTCAGAGTATTCTTTTCAGATATTCTCACCTAAAGTTTCCTTTTCCATCATCTTCTTTTACCTCCAAGGAGACACTAAAGGTAAATACATCACTGTCCGGGGTCGGGATGATTGAATCTTTAACATCAGACACTTGTCTGGAAGAACGTTTGAATGCAGTACAGAAACTATATAAAATTCTGCTTACCTAAAAAAGTAAAAATGGAAATGTAATTAGACCAAAGCACTAAATGAACCGTGATAGTCTTCTCTCCCATTCTGAAAGCCTATAACTTTCCATACCCACAATTTGAAAGTAAATACAGTATAAGCATCTCTCAACTATTTGGATGGTATATAATAACATTTTTATTAAGTATGCATTAAAAAGTGATAGGTAAGCCGGGCGGTGGTGGCGCACGCCTTTAATCCCAGCACTCGGGAGGCAGAGGTAGGTGGATCTCTGGGAGTTCGAGGCCAGCTTGGACTACAAGAGCTAGTTCCGGGACCGGCACCAAACCAAAGCTACAGAGAAACCCTGTCTCGAAAAACCCAAAAAAAAAAAAAATGATAGGTACATAACCATACATAGTAAATGCAGACCATCCTAATTCTAAATTATTATACATGAATAACAACATTAGCATGAAATCCAAAAAAATATTGCTAAAGTATTCCTCAAAAAGCACACTAATTCCATGGAAGGTTTAAGTATATGAAGTCAACAGTAATGCATCATTTCACAAACTAAGTTCAAGTATGATAGATATTTTTACACCTACACAGTTAAGATTCACTGTAGACACTATCAATATAAACCCTAGAGACCTGAAGGGAACTAGTATTGAAGAGCTAAGGCTATGAACTGGAATGTGAGAATGAACACCAGCAGCAGGTTCAGGTCCACTCAGGAATGACAGCGAGTCAGCACTGTTAACTGAGATTCAGAACCTCTCTTACTAACAAAATGCACAAAACACATAACCAAAAAAAAAAAAAAAAAAAACTTGTGAATCAGAGAGCATTTGATTATTAAGGAATATTTTCTTTGAAAGGTTTTCCCAGACGATATTATCTAATGAACACAATGCAACATTTCAAGAAACGGCTTAACTGTACAACACATTTGTCACGGGGGAGAGCAGGGGTCTTTCGGGTGGCAGATACATGAAAGATTGTTCTATTGTAGAAAATAGATATTATTTGCTATCATCAGTCAGTACAAATCTCTTATATATACAGCTTCAGATACAGTGAGTTTGCTGATCAACTCAGTTCAGACATACCACTCCACTTGGATAATTTGACTAATCTTACAAAACAAGCCAATGGGTGTTTGCAATGCTTTCTGTAAACCAATAAAAGGACTAGGTAGAGTCTAGAATTCTGATGACTTTTAAAGGAAGTTGCATTGTTTTCATCAGTTCTCTATTATCAAAGACTTGTTCTCACAGAGTAGTAGAGAAGAGACTCAGGATCAATGAATTAATGCCTATGTGTGAACCAAGACTACATAAATATGCCCAAGTGTACTCATATTGAACAAGACTACCCTCACTAAGAAAGAACTGTTTAACTTAATAGCTGTCTGTCAAGTATTCTTTTTTTGTTGTTTGGATTTTTTTTAGTTTTTTTCTTTTCTTTTTCTGTCAAATATTCTTGCTTTGTTTCTTTAAACTCTAATATTTAAAAAGTTAATAAAAATGATTTTTTTTTGTGAGACAGGGTTTCTCTATAGCTTTGTAGCCTGTCCTGGAACTAGCTCTTGTAGCCCAAGCTGGCCTCAAACTCACAGAGATCCGCCTGCCTCTGCCTCCTGAGTGCTGGGATTAAAGGCATGCACCACTACCACCCGGTAAAAATGAACTTTTTAAACAAAAAATCCAGGATGGTTCAGTGGTTAAGAGCACTTGTTGCTTTTGCAGAGGACTCAAGTTTGGTTCCCAACACCCCCATGTGTCCTCACATCTGTCTATAATCCCAGTTCCAGGAGATCCACAACCTCTTCTGGAATCTGCAGACTCCTGCATGACATGGTGCACAGATGCGCAGGCAATCAGATAAATATAAATATTTCTGAGACAGGATTTCTCTGTATAGCTCTGGCTGGCTGTCCTGAAAATTGCTCTGTAGACCAGGCTGGCCTCAATCTCACAGAGCTCTCCCTGCCTCTGCCTCCTGGGAACTGGAATTAAAGGTGTGTGCTACCACTGCCCAGTTTAAATAAGTATTTTTTTAAAGTCAGGTACAGTTGGCTCACATCTCTACTCCCAGCATTAGAAGGGCTAAAACAGAACCGTCACTAGTTGAATGCTAGGCTTGGCTATAAAAACCTGTGTCAAAAAAGGATAAACTGGGGCTGGAGAGATGGCTCAGAGGTTAAGAGCATTGCCTGCTCTTCCAAAGGTCCTGAGTTCAATTCCCAGCAACCACATGGTGGCTCACAACCATCTGTAATGGGGTCTGGTGCCCTCTTCTGGCCTGCAGGCATACACACAGACAGAATATTGTATACATAATAAATAAATAAATATTTTTTAAAAAAGGATAAACTGAACTAAGTTTACAAAAGAAACTATATTTATTTGTAAATGTCTCTAGGCTACAAAATATTGCAATGAAAGCAAAAATGAAGGTGGAATCTACATGTTTCAATGAATATTCACGAACAAGGTTTTAGTTAAAGTCCTCAGTTTCTCTATGGAACTCCCTCAGCTTTAACAAGCTAAATACTGAGCTACAGCAATGAAGCTACATCCTTTCAGCATACAGCAGTTTACAGCAACATGATTTGAAAAGTTTTTGGTATTTCATTTGGTGTTTTGTAGTATAAAAATGATTTCCAGGATAAATAGTGAAAAAGTTTGAAGCTATTCTATTAGCATTAGGGCACTCTAGTGACTGTGAAAT